GCAACTTTTATTTCCATAAAAATAATAAAATTTTTACAAAATAATAACTGCACAAAATTTTGTCTAATCTAAAAGTCGAAAAAATGTTGAAGAAATCGGAAATCAGTAATCAGAAATCGTGATCTTCAAATTCACATAATTTTGCAAACCGCAATAATCGATTAGTTGGTGTCTAAAATGTTCAATCGATTAGTTGTCAACTAACCAACTAATCGATTTTTTCAACTTTCTATTTGTAACACTAGTCGTGATTTAACATATTATATAATAAAAGAATTATAAAGAATCACTAGCTAATTTTACAAGTCATTGAAAATCGATCCTAATATATTTTATTAAGAAACTTGTAAATGCACGGGTGAAAATTCTTATTGATTCTGTTCTAGTTTAACTAATTTGATTTAGTAAAAATTGTAACTAATTCTTGTAAGAAAAAACAATTAATTCTATATAGTAAATAAATACATTTAATTTAGGTATAATTCTTTAGCAAAATCAGTTACAACTTTTAACCAGAATCAAATATATATTTATATTATAATCAATTGTATTTTTATTTTGAATCAGTTACAGCTTTTGATCGGAATCAGTTGTAATTTTATTAGATTAGTTGCAAAATTAAATATGACTTTTAATTGCGATTAATTATAATTAAAAAGCTGTACATAATTCTGGTAAGTACAACTGATTCCAATGAAAGATCATACTAATCCAAGTAGAAAATTGTAATTAATTTAGGTAAAAAAAAAAAAACAGATGAAGTTGATTTTACTAAAAAATACAGCTAATGTTACAACTGATTTCGATAAAGGTTGTAATTAATTCTAACGACTAAACAATTTGGCATGCCATTAGCCAAAATTCATACCATGCCACACTATAGGCATGCTTATATTTTAAATATTAATGAAATATTTATTATTGTATATTACAATATTACTTTTTGTTCAGCCGATCAAATTATTTAAATAACTTAAAATGTAATTTTATTAATAATGTATGTCAAATAGGTTTTAAAAATTTTGGCATTCTAGGTGCTGAGAAAAGAAACAGCATTGCCAATTTTTTTAAAAATATTGTTCTTGAGCTTAGCTAATTTAAAATTAGTCTAGAAACATTTTTCGTTTAAGGAACAGATGCTGTTAACTTAATAAAATTTTGCAATATAATTCTTTAAAATTTTATTTTCTTATAATAATTTATTACAAAATTTATAATACGTATAAATTTTGTCAATTTCGCCTCTTTTCGCAGCATCAAGTCCAGATGTTTGAATTGAACCAGCTAATGAATTAGAATCAAATCAATAGGGTAGTGCCTATTTTAGAAGAATTAAAATTTTATTAAGACTAGAATTGAATCAGATAGATAATTCGAATAGAATCAGTAAGGATATACTCCACAATAACGAAAGTGATTTGTAAATGGTACAAAAAAGAAAAAAAATACAGAAACATGTATGAAATACACTTTCTGGTTTATGAAATTACATTGCATGTTTTGGCAAAAAAGAAAAAAAAAAGCTGCAACTTTTAAAAACTATGCATAGTAAAAAATAATACTCGATTTATAACTTTTTGCTTATAATTTTTGACTTAATACACTGGTTGCTTTAGCGCCGTAAATGCAAACTTACTATATCTCTACTAAAATATTTAAATTCGAAAATGTTCCCTTTCTGAAAGATTAATACAAAACATCGCCAAAATATTCACCTATCAAAAGAGAGCAAATTGCCCTCTGTAATTCACTAATTCCATTACTTTCTTGCGTTCCCTTGCTCCTTTTTAACAAATATCCACATTTTTGGTCGTTTGTTTTCATAGTTACAAACGCGTCCTTAACATTGCGCCCGTCCTTTCTTTTCAAGATAATTGAATCATTTAATAAATCTGTCAATTGATTATATCCCACAATTTGAGGAATAGTTTCTTTGTACATAGAAAAGTACAGCAACTCAATGCAACAAGTCCGAATAACTGTTCCATTCTTCATTAAATGCCTAATTTTCCATAATACTTTTTCAGCTTGGTGAAATTTCATCTGATTAGCACGTTCTTCTTCGGGGTCATATCTAGCCTTCCATACTTGAACATCAAAATAAATTTCATCATATTTAATCGGATATGGTGATACAGGAGGAACGTTCATCTTTAAAAAAGGATCATAAACATCCCTTGGAATATTTGATACGTTTAATCCAATCCAAGTTACATTATCCTTTGTACAAACGTTAACCTTAAAAGATTCGTTCCAGGTTTCCTGAATAAATTCGCCAAGGGTTAGATAAGATGATTTTGCATATTCATCCCAGTTAAGATTTTCATGGTATATGTTCACGTAGGAATCAGTCATTTGACGTGTATTTAGAAATCCACATGTCTCATATTTACAAACTATAAGATAACAAAGTGCATATTCAATGTAATTAGTGATTCAAGACAGTAGAAATTTAATTCAATAAAAGCATACACAAATCTTTGATCCTTTTTTCAATTTTATTCAACTCATCATGATCTTCTTGAGAGTAATAATCGGAATTTTCATCATCAGATAATAGTTCAACTTGATCGAGCCTTCCTTGGCCAATTGCGTATCGGCTTTTTAGATCCATTCTTTATTAAAAGTTGAAAATGTTATATTTGAGAATAAAATGATTAAAACTTTATACGACTATTTCTTAATTCAATTTTTATTAATAATCTGTTAGTAAATCGTTATGACAGAATCTAATGTTATGCTATTAACGAAATCGCAATATGTAAATACGTCAACAAATGTTTAAAAAATTCTGCAACCATCATTATAAAATTATATCGACATACAAATTATTAATAAAATAATCTGGGTTAAAATTATATAGACATTTATCTGATTTGTTAATATTAATCGAATTACTTGAATAGCTTATTTATATCCTTTAAAATGTTTTCTGAAAATATAATATATTTTATTAATAAAAAGTTACTATAAAAGCCATTTCTCTTAAAAATAACACTGCACTTAAATTCGTCATAGAAAAGAATCTTAAAAGTATTTTACTTTTGATTTATTTGTACTATTTGAATTAGCAGTATAATATAATATTTGAAAATGATTCAAAAATTTAATAATTACCGTATTTTGTGCATGATGCAAATTGTTTTACACATAAAAAATTAAATGTCACAATTAATACACGTCACATCCGTATACAACAAGCATTCAAGGAGGTTTATACTATTTGCACGAAGGGTACTTTAACCCACAAAATACGGTAAACTATGTATCTATAAACTATATATTTTTTTATTAATTCTAAATTGTAACACAACGCCACTCATCTAATGTCATTCTATGAGGTCAAACGGAATTTCATTGGATATTTTAATATTACTATTTTTTTTTTTTTTTTGATGGGTTAATATACCCTCTTCATGTAATACCCCCCGCGTAATATACCCACTGCCATACACAATATCCAGGGACATAAATCAAATGTTGTCTACGTAGATGTAAAATACTCGAGTAAAACTTGTATTGCGTTTTACGGCAAAAAACAATTGTAAAATCTTTGTTAATACTGCAATTCGACAGTGAATTAATAAAATATCTTTATTACTTTACTAAATGTCATCAGATTTCTAATTCACCCAAACGAATATTTTCTTACTTTATAATTCATCTCTACAAATATTTTTACTTATTATGCTAAACTTAGTTAATTTAACAAAAAATTGTTACATGACTCATCGAATTTATTGTGATGCCAGATTGAGATCACGGTATCACCAAATTTTTGCGTTATTACCATCCACTCTTACACTAACGCTCGGGAGCTCAAAAATTTTTTGGAAAAGGTCTGCATATGGAGATCTATAACGATAAAGTTTAACTTATAGACAATATTGTATCACAAATTACTTCATATAAATAGGCATTGATTATTATCAACTCAGAGATGTGGCTTTCTCGTCATTGCTTTTTAACTTATCTCAAGTCTTATCGTTATCGATCAATGAGTACTCTAAAATTTGTTGCGACTCAAGATGCGCCTAGCGCGATTGGCCCTTATTGTGAGTTCTGTCTCGTCTCAACGTTTGAAAGGCTTGTGTCTATTTACTGTTATATTTATTAGACCGTAAAAAAAATTTTCTTTAATTGGTATAAACAGCTCAAGCCATAGTTGCAAATGGATTTGTGTTCGCATCCGGTCAAATCCCCCTCTCACCTAAAACAGACCAAATCGTTAGCGATGATGTTAAAGAACAGACGGTACACTAAGAAAAAAATATTTATTTGTTGAATACGTAACAGATTCATTTCTTTACACATGTGATATTAATTTTTTTCTTGCAGCGACAAGTAATCGAAAATCTTTCAAATGTATTGAAAGAAGCTAATTCTTCGCTTTCTCAAGTTGTCAAAACCACCGTGTTTATTAAAAACATGGATGATTTTGGTGCTATTAACGAAGTTTATGCTGAAGTAAATGATCTAATTTACATTTTATATCCAAAAGAAAAGGGCAGTTTGGACTTGCAATTGTATTTTGTACCGGACGTAATCCATTTAATTTATTAGGGATTGTGTCCGGTACAAAATATCCCGAGCTGCCTTTTTTCCTTGGCAGCATTCGTATTATATATTTGTATAATTTATGAACCTTTTATTTTCATGCTTATTTTACGATTAGTGCTTTGGGACTCATAAACCGGCTCGTGCAACTGTAGAAGTTGCTAGATTGCCAAAAGACGTCAAAGTTGAAATTGAGGGTATTGCAGTTGTAAACACATCTAGTAAATATTGAGCTTATAAAAATGAATGTAAAAAAGTTATGACTCGACGTGAGAAATTTAAACAGCCTTAATTAGATCAAAAAAATTATGATTAATTGATGGAGACTATAACACGTTCTGTCGAAATTTAAAAATGTCGATCTAAACTAGACTATATTAACTATATTAGCATTAGTTTTAGAAGATTTCAATTAAATACAATTGTGAAAAAATTTGGACCACTGAGAAGCTGCCAAAAATTAACGAGGCCAAACATTTGTTGTATTTTGTCTGACCAATCGTACGCCATCAAGAAATCTAATCGGAAATTAAGCTAACAGCTAATCAGATTTGTACACACACGTACGTGCGCATAAAAATTGCTAATTTACTTGTATTAGCCTTCGTGTTTCTTTTCGTTCTCATTTATTCGCTCAGAAAATGGAATTTTTTAGCAGAGGATATAAAGGACTATTAGGAGAAAAAGGGCAACCTCAGTCTGTTGAGATTACAATTGCAAAATTATGTGATCGCGCAAACAATTCTACATTACTAGAAGATAGACGTGCTGCAATTTTGGGCTTAAAAGGACTTTCCCGAGAATATCGACTTGTAAGTTTGAATATTATGAATTTTATAGCATAATGAATTGTAATTTATGCTTTTTTTTTAAATTGCCACTGCGATTCTAATAGGAAGTGGGCGAAAAGGGTCTCGGCGCTCTTTTACATGTCCTAAACGAGGATCGGGCAGATATAGACACGACAAAGGCGATTCTCGAAGTTCTAAATATTTTGTGCACTCCAGATGGGCAGCAGGTGTGTATATATGTTTTTTTTTTTCAAAAAAAAATAATTTTTTTTTAGCGCTAATTATTTTAAACTTAGGATCCTGCTGCTGATCTGGGTGTTAAATTCACTGATGAAATTGTACATGTAAGTCAATATTCTTTATGAACAATAATTTTTGACATAAATTAAGATTCTTCTTTTAATGTTCATAGGATTCTGCTAATATAAATTTACTCTTGGATATTTTGCAAGAATATGATTTTTATGTTCGTTTTCACAATATTCAGTTATTGGGAACTTTATTGTCTATTAGACCAGATCGTGTGCAAGGTTGCATATTAACTGCACCAATGGGTATTTCACGCTTGATGGATTTGTTAGATGATCGAAGAGAAATTGTCAGAAATGGTAGTTATTTTTATTCATTTATTTATTTATTTTTTTGTCTTAATGATTACGATCATGAATAATTGTGAAAATTTTTGAATCTTAGAAAGTTTGCTTTTACTTATTGCCCTTACTGAAAATAATGCCGATATTCAAAAAATTGTCGCATTCGAGAACGCATTTGAAAGGCTTTTAGAAATAATTGCTGAAGAAGATGGCTTAAGTGGTGGAATTATTGTTCAAGATTGTATGCAATTAATACATAACTTGCTAAGGTATAATGTTTCAAATCAGGTATGTTGTGATCTTTTATTTTTTAATGGTTTCTATAGATGATTATTTAATTCTTTATCTTAATTTTGCATAGAATTTTTTTCGTGAAACAAGTTGTATACAACGTATACCGGCATTATTAGGCTACTCCCAAGATTATAAAAACAAAAATTATGAAGTTGAATTTTTAGTTCAAGAATGGCAGGAACAAAAAGTTACCAACACTATTGTTCTATTAGAATTGATTCGAATATTAGTAGTACCTAATAATATTAATACATTAACTAATCAGGTAATTATTGCAATATTATTTTATTTCACTTTTATTTACTGATTATAAACATCCGCTAATTTTCAGAATGTTATGGCTCAATGTGGGGTATTGAAAACGGTAGTTGAACTTGCCTTATCTTCGAATGCTCCTTCGTCAGTAAAAGCCCATGTACGTTATTACTATTTTTTACATTCTTTTCATTTAAATTTTAAGCCTGAGCCATATTAGCAGGCTTATTAATCAGTCCAATAACCAATATTCAATAGTCTCTATACGCTTTGGCAGATCTTATACGTGGAAACAGTTCTAATCAAGAATTTTTGGCACGGACAGTTGTTTCAGTTCCCTATTCACCCCAACGTCCGAATTCCACACAGGATTCAGCACCTGATTCTCATTCGAAAAGTAATCGAACTTCACACGAGCAAATTTCAACTCTTCCTCCACGTCCTACAGTCATGGCAATTATTGCCGTTGCTGTTGGGGCTGAACATATAGAAAGTTATACCACTCGAGCTGCAGCTACATATGCTTTTGAGGTAACAATTATTTAAATTGGTTTTTTGTTCATTTATTAGCGTGATATTCACATAAATATATCTATTCGAAATACAGTGTTACACATATAATAATCCTAATGCACAAGTTGCATTGGCATCTACATTGACTCCCCCCCCTGATGATAATCCTAATTCAAATATGAATACAGGTTGAAATATATAAACTTAAAGAGTTTGTCGGAAGTCTCTATAAAAAAAAAAACAGGTCATTAATTCAACTTTCACGCTTTTAAATTATTCGATTTATAGCTAAACCTCAATCAGCTGGTTCATTATTACTCTCAGCTCTTTTGGAATGGGAAGATTCAGAGGCGGATCCATATGTAGTGTGGTTCTCATCCATTATTTTTTCTCATATTCTTATGAATAATGAAAAATCTAAAGAATTGGCTCGTGGAATTATGATTGGAGAAGATAATGCAGATGACCATATTCCTTTGTTGCACTCTATTGTGGGGAATTTAATATTGGCGACAAGACAAAATGCGGACGTAAGGGTCCTGATTGGATACCTATGCGTTCTCTGTATTTGGTTGTGGGATAGTCCACAAAGTGTCAAAGTGTTTCTATCAAAAGATGCCCATTTGCAAATTGTATCTTTTTGCTTTTACAGTTCTGCCAATATTAATTGCAATATTCCTTTTTAGATAATCGAAAATTCCTTAATTTATCATTTATTATATTAGCTAATTGGGCCTATAACTCAATCTTCCGGTGTAGATTCAAGAGTACAAGGTTTATGTGCATTTTTGCTAGGTACTTGCTATGAGTTTAACCATTCATTAGATTCACCAATTACGAGGTTAGAGCATTTATATAAAACTTTACGCGTTATTTATTGACATCTTTGAAATTAGTTATCAATTTATAAATTTTTAGAACAACGCTTCAACCAATCTTACTCAATCGTATTGGAGCTGATCAATTTGTGAATCGTATTACACGACTAAGGGAATCACCTCATTTTAAGCATGTTCCTCAATATATACAGGTAAAATTCAGTCCTATCTTTTAAATTAGGATCATTAAAATCTTAATTTTAAATTTATACTCTATCACCATAGGTTTCTCCAGAAGAAGAAGCTAGAGGGTTGCCAGAATTATATTTTGAATATGCATTTGTCGAATTCTTCAAAAATAATTATGGTACGAAATAGGCTGTATTTATTAATTTCTTCATTAAAATATTTAAATAGATTCTATATATGGAAATGCTCAGTGCTTTTTTTTTTTTCAGAAAAAATTCAAAGATCTATCATAGTTGATCCTAAATTAACATCTGGAGGTGAGTATGGCTTTAACAGTCTGTATTTGAGGCTTATTATTATTGGATGTATAACAAATTACATGTCTATTTGTTAAATAGGAAGTGATTTTCAAGGCGATCATGATTCTTCAATGATTTCATCTTTTAAATCTGTTATACAGACTCAAGAGCAAGAAATTATTGAGTTAAAAGAAACGATAAGACAACTTGCAGAACAGTTGGAAAATCAGGTATTTGAAATATTTATATTAAATAAATAATATATACACAAAGTTATTAATAAATATTTTTATATGCAGAAATCATCTTCCGAACAGCAAATATCTTCATTACAAGAGGAAATACAATCGCTGAAACAAACTATAGAAACCCAAAAATCTGAACGCGCAAAATTAGAAAAAGAACAGGAAGATTTGTTTGTTTGTCTTGCAGATCAAGATGCAAATATCAAAAAGTATAGAGAGAGATTGGTTGAACTTGGAGCTGAAGTTTCGGATATTGAAGAGGACGAAGGGGATGATGACGACGACGATGAATAACTTTATATATAATGTCTTTTGGAGTTTATTCAAAGAGGCCATGTTTAATTGTTAAAAGATGTATCATACGTAATAACTGTATTTGGATAGTTTTTGACCATTATTTTAATACAAGATATGTTATTTATTTAGAAGATACCATTATTATATTACATTTAGAATAGTATGTTCGTAAATAGTAAGATTTATAGGACAATATTCTTTTACTAAACCAATTTCTAATTCGTTCGTATACAACAAATTTAATAAAAACCTTAATTCCTATAAACAAATATTTCGAGCTTTCTAGCATATTGTAACAATTAAAATAGAAATGGATTGGTATTTCCACACTTATAGGCTTGTTCTTTAAAATCACTTGTGTTTTGTGAAACTGCAATTCACGAAATTTCTATAACTTTAATCATTAAAATATTATTGCTATTGCTAAGATTGATATTGAGAATTGATCTATTTTAATAAGAACTTTAAAATTTTGTGGGTGTGTTTTTTACACTTTACCAATATTTGAAAAGAAAAAAACGATTGTTTGTAAAACATGTATTGGTTGAATATTAAAAAAAAACAGTATGTATATTTACAAATTATATATTATTAAAATATATATGTATAAGAAAAATTAGATTATTTGATAACGTTAAAAGCATTATGTCTAATAATTTATTAGATAAACCATTTTAGATTTAAATAAATTCATTTTAGATTCAAATAAACATATTTTAGATATAAATAAACCTATTTGTTTAAAGTAAATTTAAGTTAAATTTAAATAAATTTATTTTAAATTTAAGTAACCCCAATTTAAATTTATATAAATCCATATTAGGTTTAAATAAATTTGATCTAAATTTAAATAAATGTAAATTAAAGGGAATATTATTATAGTGCTATAGCGTCATCTATATGTAAATACAAAATTGGTATAACGTAAATCAAAATCTTGTCTTTACAAAAATAAACCTTTTAATTAGGTTTAGATTAAAGCTTGGGTTAAAGTTAGGCAAGGTATAATTTAAACTAAAATTTTGTAAAGAATTTTTTTTATTATAACACAAAAGATAGTTTTTTTTAATTAAAATTTTAAGGTATATCTAATTTTTAAAAATTTATTATTTTTGTTATATAAAAGATAATCTGCATGTTACATCTAAAGAAACTAACATTTATCAGCTGATTATATCCTCTGAAAATACTGTATATTAATTAATTATTCTGGAGTACCCAGAGTTAGTTATTAAATAATTTTAAATTTTAATATAATCTATTCCTTAAACTGTAGGCTTTTCCAGGCAAATTTGCCCGAAAAATTATTATCCCTTAGATTGTAAGCCAATATAGGCAAATTTGTTTGTGTTGATATTATAAATATGCTACTGATCTATTTTTTTAACAATTCAGAATATTCAAATGAAATTTGGTATAATAATATTTAAAAATATAGATTACTTTTTTATAATATTTATTTTTAGATTATAAGAAAAAAAATTTAGGTTACTTATAAACCAAAAATATGCAATTTTAAAAATAATTTTTTAAAAAAAA